AATAAGAAAGGTCAATAGGGTAACAAAATAGAGGAAGTTAAGGCTTGAGAAGTGAATAGAGACCAGATCAGTAGGCAGGAAAGAGACTAGATTCTCGGTGCAGCGGGAAGCACTGCCCTGGAAGCTTTCATGCGAGGGAAAGACAAGATCTGATTTGCGTTTGAATTAGTTCACTCTAAAATGCAAACGATTACAAACCATAGACAAGGCCCTATAGAGTTCTTCACAAAGTTCCTGGGAAAATGGAGCTAAAAGATAATACGAATCTTTCCATGAACTTTTTGCAGGACCCTCGTATATGCCAAGGACTGTTCTACAGCGGTGAACAAAACAGATAAAAATTTCTGATCTCAAGGAGCTTATATCCTCGTCAGGAAGACAAACAAAAATAAGATATGCCATAAAAATAAATAGGATGTGAGAAAGTGGTAAANAAGATTATTTTAAAAAGTCAACTTTCAAAGTGTCACTTATTATTTTCTATCGATCTACATATAACCCATCTATTGCTACCTATTTATAAACACTCACTTTACTTCTTTTTCTGTCTGTTGTAGTTGTCCGGTTAGCATTCCACGTTCCTTTTTCATGGCTTTAACTATGTTTTCATGATGAGAAAGAGACTCTTTCGTGACACTCAAATCCTTATTCACACGCTCTAACTCAGAATTCAGAAAACGAATATTCTTCTCATTGTGATATAGTTGGAAAAGCTGTAGTTGTATCTTGTTGACTTTCAGTTCCTCAAGGAGACTCTGGTAACGTTCTGCCTACAAAACAGTACAATTCAACAGTAGTAAAAAGTGAGTATATTTAAGCTGACCTTTCATAAACCCAACTACTGTACCAATAAATGACCTCTAATGAATTTTCATGTGTGTCACTAAGAAACAGTATTCTTACCCAAAATAGCGTTATTTGGGGAAGGTTGCTGAATACACTTCTAAATTAAACCAGAAAACCATTAATTTTGTATCCATGTGCTCAGTGGTGCGTTGGTAAGAACAATTGAGTGGCACCCCTAACCCGGCTCCTAATCCCATTTCTGTCTTGAGGAGTTTGGCAAGTCCATTAACATTTCTAGCACCAGCCTCCTCATTTGTAAACTGAAGAAAGAGAATCATGTAACTTGTACGGCCCCTAGTAACTTTAAATGCAAGGATTCCAGGCAAAATTCCTGTTACAGGAAGTGATTTTCCTACTGATAGAACTAATAGGACTATTATAGTTCTTAATTATAGGTGAAAAGGAAGAAATTCCTTAACATTGATGCTATTAATAAAGAAATAAAGAATGAACTCGCTCAAGAGGAGAGCTCCTAATCAATGCAGAATTTCAAGTAACAACTAAATGGTCATCCTCCAGGATGTTGTAAAAAATTAGGAAGTTGGACTATTCTAATTGTCCTTATCATGTTTCGAGTTCTGTAATTTTATAAGTTATTTCACTACACTGTGACTATTGCAGTCTGACTGTCACTGCTGCCACCACTTTTTACTGACAAATGGACACATATACACATTAAAAAACTATGAAGAAACAGAGAAACACCACGAATAAGAAAGATATACACTTTTCATTTATTTCCTTAAATATTTATTGAGTATCTACTGTGTGCTAAGCCCTGTTCTGTGTGCTGCTGGGAATACAGTGAAGAACTAGACAGACTGTCCGTGCTCTTGTAAAGCTCATATTCCAGTTATGTGAATGGGGCGGGGTAGAGGAAGAGGAATCAGAGAATGAACACACAAACAAATAATAAACAAGATCATTTCGTACAGCAATACATGTTCCAAAAGAAACAATACAGGCTGATGTGACAGTGCAAGAGAGGGGAAGCTAATTCAGATTGTCCAGGGGATGGGGGTGGTGCACAGCAAATGCCTGCTTGAGAAAAGAAAACGACATTTTTATAAAGACGTGAACGAGAGAACCAGCCATGAAAATATCAGGCACACAGCTCTCTAGGCAGAGGAAATAGCAAAAGCACCAGGATAAAAGGGAGCTTGATGTATTCACCAAATAAGAAAGTTCAATAGGGTAGCAAAATACAGCACCTTAAGGCTTGATTGGTGAACAGGGACCATATCAGTAGGCAGGAAAGGAGACTAGATTCTCAGTGCAGCGGGAAGCACTGCCCTGGAAGCTTTCATGCAAGGGAAAGAGAAGATCTGATTTGCGTTTGAATAAGATCACTCTAAAATACAAACAATTACAAACCATAGACAAGGCACTATACAGTACTTCACAAAGTTCGTGGGAAAATGGAGCTAAAAGATAATACAAATCTTTCAATGAACTTCATGAAGACCCTTTGTACTAGTCATTGTGACGGGCACCAAGAAATACCACAGCATTTGAAAAGTGCAGCCATGATTTCCTAGGGGTCCCCAAGACCCTTTTAGAGAACCCCATAAGACAAAACTATTTTCATAATAATACTAAGACAACATTTGCCTTTTGTACTGTGTTGACATTTGCACTGATGATGTAAAAACCAATGGTGGCTAAAACTGCAAAGCCTTAGCACAAAAAAGATTTAATGCTAAGTATTTAGGAGAAGTTAGCTGTCTTCTATTAAGCCAGACATTAAGGAGACCATAAAAATGTAAAACTGTGTTGCTCTTCTAATTATTTTGTTTGGAAAATGTAGTTATTTTTCATAACAATCTTATTTATGTTAACATGTAATAAGTTTATTACTGCTATTTTTTACATGGACCATTAAATCTATTTTTACAATTTTCAGGTTTGATTTCAAATATAATGAGGATCGGTACATAAAATCCACATGTACACAAACTCTTTGTTGTCCTCAGTGGTTTTTAAGTGTGTAAGGGGGTCAAGATCCAAAAGTTTCAGAGCCTCTGCTACATAAGACATAAACCCATGAAGCGTGTTTTTAGTTGAGAAAATCAGACATTTTCGTAGTTCAGGTTGTCCTGTCTATTTGGGATTAAGAAACCTAATAGTGAAAGATATATCCAAAAGTTTATCTTTACTGATCATTGGGCTTTATTTTTCTTATATTATTAAAGAAATCTTCTTGGTAATCCCAAGCCAATACCTAGCAACTCTAACAGACAAAAAGTTTTGGTATCTAACACTTACTTGGTTACATCTTCAAGACACCTTACCTCTTCTTTCTCTAATTGGGCTTGTTTGCGCTCTGCAGCTACGCTTTTTTTCTTATTAAAATTAAACTGTGCATCCTCTTCAGCTTTTTGTAACTTTCTCTTCTTTTCCTCATAGTCTCCTATTAGTTCTCCCGAGCTGCTGATTTCCTCAAAAAACTGGGTCCTTTCTTTGGGTTTTTTCATTGAAATCGATTCTACACTTTCCTTTTAAAAACAGTAAAGCACACCAACATATAAATATAGTGATGTATTTTCAGAACTATGAATCCAATAAACTACTACAGCTACTTACCTGAAAAACTAGACAGTTTCTTGCTTTTTCTGTTATGCCGATCTTTTCCAACTCTGCTATGTAAGCAGAACGACTCACAGGATTATCATCACAATGAAATTCTGAGCATCCACCCAATATAAAAGGATAAAGACTATTACAGGAAACATAAATATCAGACATATCTCCATAACCAAAGAAGTTCAATAAAATATTTTTTGTTATTGAAATGGCCAGTGAAGCAATAATATAATCATATACATATTAATAAATGCATTTAATCAGCCAACACATACTGATTGTCTACTAGGAGAATACTTTAGAAAGCTCATAGAAAAATAGAATTGAAAGATAATACAAATCTTTCCACGAACATTCTGCAGGACCCTCGTTTATGCCAAGGACTGTTCTACAGCGGTGAACAAAACAGATAAAAATTTCTGATCCCAAGGAGCTTATATCCTCGTCAGGAAGACAAACAAAAATAACATATGCCATAAAAATAAATGGGATGTGAGAAAGTGGTAAATGCTGAGGAGTAAATATGAGCTGGGAATGTGGAATGGAAGTTTTTGTGTAGGGAGGATTGGCTTTGCAATTTTAAAAAAGGTGGGCAAAGGAATCCTTACTGATATGGAAAGTATTGATTTAAAAGTCTAAAGAAAGTGAGAAAACTGGTCACTGAATATATCAAGGTGACAAAGTGGTGAAATACTTAAATTACTCATGAAGGCACAAGTATAAAGTAAGAAGTCCTTCTAAAATCATCTGTGATAGCATTTGGGGGAGGTTAATAAGACAGTGTTTATACATTAGAAATGTTCTGGTGGACACTGAACAGTAACAACAAAACAAAAACAAAAACACGTATTTATAGAGGCTCTGTGAAACCCAAGCATAGTATAAAAAAATAAATAAACAACTCTCAATGTTGTTTATTCAGACAACACAGGGAATTCATGAACAAATCACAACATACAAATTCAAACATTTCCCTCAAGGTGCTTTTCATGGTAAGAAAAACTATCTATACAAGCCAAAAGTATGTATGTAATTAGTTCATCATAAGAAAAGCAGATAAACATAACCTCAGGAAGAACTTTTATAACTTCTCTCTCTTTGAGGTCGACTCCTTATATCTTAACCAAATATCCAGATATAAAAATGCTATTTAACACTAGGGGGATTTGAAGGGTACTTCAAAAGTTTTGTAGAAAGATTTTGAAGTTCCCTTGTTATGTCTGCTTAGGGAAGAGTCTTAACGGAGCATCAGATAGATTCTGTTACTTGCCTCAGATTTTCTATTGAACGGGGGAAAAAAACCCTCTCATTCACTATGCCAGTGGAACAACAATGATCACCCTTCAAAGAATGAAAAGAACAGGCAATCTGACTTAATCTAAGCAATCAAATGACATAAGCAAAAATCTACAGAAACTACCTCGGATAATCCTTGTAAATGTTTTCTCTTCCCCGCTTTCCTCCACATACACAATTTTTACACTTGCAGAAGAAGAAATAGGTTTTCCAATATGTGCTCCATGAATAAGTTCTTGAATATTTTTCACTCTCAAATTAGCTGTTTTCTCTCCCATTACAAAACGGAGTGCATCCATTACATTAGATTTTCCTGGGGAAGGAAAGAGAAAAATTCATTTGTTCTTAATGATAAAAAGCCTTGACCAGAGCTGAAGAAATCAGGACACGACTGGGAGTGAAATATAGCCCATATACATGCCTAAATACTTCTGTACTGTCAATGTTCAAATTGCATGTGACTGACAAGTTTTACTTTGATTACTTGTTTCTCCTATGCAGCTATGGTAGAGCATTAAGAGATCTAAATTTAAGGATCTAAATCCCAGCTCTCTCCCATTATTAGGCATTACTCCCCATATAGTCATTTAACGTCTATAAATTTCAGTTACACTTATTTTATAAATAAGCATCCTCAGTGCTGCACTAAGCACTCACATACTGAAAAGAACAAAGGTTAACTAAATCCAGGGTCTTCCCAACGGACACACTAAGGTTGCTAGACTATTTATGACTGGCATGAGATAGTGCTACAAAAAATTATATAGCAGGCCTGAGACTGCTATCCTGTGAAAGTCCTGCTTACAAGGCTGGCTGGCATCTGGGGATTGGGTTTGGGGTTTGGGGAGGGTTTCTACCATTCTATGATCATAATAGCTCATTGTGCCTAAAATGTTTGTGCAAACAGTATGACTTATGCTAACACCTGATTTCTTTCTAGGAGTCTAGAATTTTGGTATGTGTCAGGCAGAGAGGACCTGTGTGACCATCTCCATGTAAATACTGAGTCTTCAGTGGGGTTCCTGAGTAGGCACCATTTCACACCTGCGAACTTGTTACTGGATGAATTAAGCACTGTGTGACTTCAGTGGATGAAGACTCACAATCTTGCACCTGGTTTCCTCAGACTTTGCCCCACTTGCCTTTTCCATTTGCTGTGTTTGCTTTGTATCTTTTCACTGTAATAAATAGTACTGAGAACAACTATGTGCTGAATCATGTTAGTCCTCCATGAAAATCACTGCAGCTGCTACCATCTGTACTTATTTATTTTTACCCTTCTCACCTTCCTTCCCTAATATACACAAACAATTAAAATTTTCAATGACAGAAGGAGGAAAGTAACATTCATAAAGAGAAAGGTATACCGTCAGTCACTAGAAATATGGCTTTGTTTTAGAGATTTAGGATCTTTCAAAAAAAAAAAAACAACAGAATTTTTTAACATGCTGCAAATTCATTTAGCTACTTCTCAGTTAACCAAAGTTAACCAATAGCTATAAAATGTGGCTTTGGGGCTAGTTATTGTAAGACAGTGCATGTACTACAAAACGAACATTCGTGGAATTGAATTATTAAGTCTAACACTAACATAGCTACACAGAAACTCTTTTTGATCAATCCTTATTTAAAATCTGCCTAAAATAAATACTTCCCCACACAAATTCACTCATTCGATTGATATTGTCCCTGACTAATAAAGGTTATATTCTGTCAAGAGTCAGACAGTACACAAAAAAGACGATTTCATGTTGTAATAAGTATAAGGAGATAAACTGGGTGATGAAATAGAGAGGAACAGAGAGTCAAGTTCAGATAGGATGGACAGAAAACATTTATTATGTGCCTACCTGCAGCTAGTGTTAGCTAAACAACCATGTCGAAAAAATGAAAGAACGAATCAAGGCAGGTTTTATAATGATCAGATTGGGGTCTTCTACTATATATAATTTAGAACCAACATCAGGAAAATTATGCTGAAAGAGTTATGTTTAGGCTATCATCACTTGATAAATATGGATGAAGTATTTAAAGATATAAAAATTACAGTGTCATTCCCTAAGTCCCTTTTGATTTTAACTCTACATAACTCTCCCATTCCTCTGCTTCTTTACCACCTCTCTACTAGTTCAAATCCTCCTTACTTTTACGAACCTCCTTATCTGGACTCTTCAACTTTCAATATCTTACCCCCTGAAATTCATTCATTCATTCTACAAGCATTTTCTGAACACCTATTTATCAGGTACTTTGCTAAGTAGTAGGCTGAAAATACAAATCTGTAGAATTGCACTGTTAAAATTTATGGGAGACCATAGTTTGGACTAGCTGCCAGCACAAAGCCCCAGCAGAGGAGACGAAACCGAAATTGAGTCACTCATGGAAGTGCTACATAATCAAACTGAAAGTTTAAGGAAGCAGGTAAATTCCCAAACAGATCACTTTTTGCTGAAAATAAGAGATTCACGGCAACCATTAAGAAAGAGCCCAGCTAACCTGAGCTGGCATAATAAGGAAGTCTCTACTTTAATCCTCACAAAAAAGTAACCTGTAGGGACCTGATGATAACCAAGCCACTTCCTTTTAATTGTTCTGCTTCCTTGATCCCACCTAGGAAAAACGAACCATTCTGTCATGCTCAGCAGAACTTCATTCTATAAAATAGAATGAGGTACTGCCTGATTATGTAATCACAAATAAAAGCCAATTAGATCTTTCAACTAATTTTCTTTCTTAATTTTATTTTTTTACTCCTCCAAGGTGCTTACAGTGGGTAATGTCAATTTTCATTGAACCCTATTTTGTGCCAGACACCCCACATCTGTTATTTTGTCTGTGCAACCATCTTAGGAGACAGGGACTAAATTTTCATTTTAAAAATAAAGAAACAGAGGCTCAAAGTCAAACAAATCATGTTTTGGAGTGATGTGTCTATTTCGAAAACCTATGCTCTTTCCACTAAAACCAGGAAATTCTAATAGACTATTTAACAAGTTCTAAGATAAAATGAACACAAAGTAATATATAAGCGTTTAGGAGATGCGCTAGTGATTGGAGGCACTAAGTAGGCTTTGCAGGAGATAATTGTGAGCTAAGATTTAAAGAGTAATTAAAAGTTTGGAGAAGGAGGTGCAGAAGGTAATATACCATCCCTGAAAAGAGAATACGTTCGTTATAGATACAAAGAAGTGAGAGAGCACTGTATGGTTCCAGTAAGAAACCAAGTAATTCTATGTAGGTACAGCAGAGCTTACAAGGTTGGGAAACCTAAGAGAAAAAGACAGGGAAGTTAAGCAAAAATTACAATAGGCTACATTAAAAGAATTAAAGTATATGTTGAACATTATGTGAAGCCACTAAAGGATTTCTTTTTTTTCCCCAAAAATATATTTTATAAAGATTTCTCAGACAATAACCCAACAGGAAAATGGGCAAAGGACACAAACAACAATTCAGAAAAAAATACAAACGCCCTTAAACATATGAAAAGATGTTCAAACTCACTCATAAAAAGAAAAATATGTAGAAGAGGTAAATCCATAATGACAGAAAGTAGGTGCCGAGGGCTGGGTAGAGAGGAGATAACAGGAAGCGAATGCTAATGGGTACGAGGTTTCTTTGGGGGGATGAAAACGTTATGGAATTAGTACACAGTGATTTGATGATGGTTGCACATCACTGAGAATAACATAAAAACCATTGAGAGTGCACTTTAAAGGGATATATTTTATGATATGTAAATTACATATCAATAAAGCTGTTATAAATAAAAATTCTTTTTTTTTTTTTCCCTTTATGTCTTTTTTCGTGACCGGCAATGGATCGCCACTCTCATTGTCGCGTCTGTACCGGACCGGGACCAGCAACGGGATCGCAACCCTCGGTGTTGCACCCGCACCTCACTCAGCCAGTGAGCGGCCAGTCTGTATGTGGGATCCGAACGCTCGGCGGGAGCGCCGCGGCGCTTCCAAGCAGCGCACTGTAATAGTGCACCACCGGGCCAGCCCGTAAATAAAAACTCTATATTTTCTAGCCCTGTACATGAAATGTGTCAGACCCAATGTTTTCTGAATGCACTGAGTACGTCTAGTTCCTAGATGGTCTCTAATATCTTTCCTACTAAAACGAACTAGAAGTCATTAGAGAACTAGCTCATTCCAAGTCCGTGACATTGAAAATTTAAGAAGAGCCTGGGAACTAGGACATCATATTTCAGAAAGCAAAGAGCACGTGAAGCAGCTTGAAGAAAATCTGACTAAATGAAATTATAATAATATGAGCATCAAAAATGATTTTGGTGGATTAAAACACACTGTGTCAATGAAAATCCATGAGTCCATAATGATACTGACAAAACAAAAAAGAGAAAAATTCATTTTCACCATTTAGGGCAGTTATTAAAAACTTTTTTTGTTTGAAGATATTAATTAAAAGGAAAGGGGCAAGCTTTTATCTTGTTTTTCCAATGTGAATTGTATTTTATGTTAATCAAAAAAACCCCACTTATTAAAGGAAAGCTCTTTTTTTTTTAAACAGGGAAATACCATCCACTGAATGTGCAAAGCATGACATAATTAGAAAAACTAACTTTGTAAACCTTAATGAAATGCTGATTCAAATATTATTCACTGGCATTAAAATCATAAAGTAAATGTCAATAGAGAACATTTTAATATCACCAAAGTAACAGTGGACTTTCTAGTTAGAAAGAAGGAGAAAAATTACGCAATACAGAGATCACTGTCACCATCCTAATCCAGGGGTCAATTTTTAGCATTACTAAGAGTACAATAAGCAGGTATTATGTGACATAATGCAATGTGAAGTACACGATATCTCCTATGATGGAGTCTAGCCATAAGGAAGCAATCACACAAACCTAAATATTTTGTAGGAAAACATTTCTAATCTTTTCAACAAGTCAGTGTTATAAAAAAAAAAAAAAAAAAGACTGTGCCGAATAAAGAGAGAGTTAAGGGCTGCAACAACCAGATGCAATATGTGGTTCTAGTTTGGAAAATGGTTTGGTCAAAGAACATTTTGGAGTCAGCCGGGAAATCTTAATTTGAGCTGTGCAGCAGATGAAATGGTCGCTTACTAAAAAAGGCAAAGATAACTGTCTGAAAACAATAAGTCAGAAAACAGTATGTACTGGATGATCTCATTTCCATTTTTTAAAAGTTTTCATTAAAAGAGTCTTTATGGCTGTGATCCTAAGTATTAGAGTAGTAATCTGTGAATTGTGGTAAAATGATCGTTTTACATTTTTAAATTTAGTTTATTTTTATTACCATATTCATAGTTACAAATCATACTTATTCTTTATGTGCATAGCCAATCTTACCTCTCCCTCTACCCCTCCCCATTTTACTTCTTTTTTCTTATTTGTTTTCTAATGCTTTACAAAGATATATACTGCTTATGTAGTAATAAATATTTTTTAAAGAATTCTGCAGCCATTATGAATTATTAATATTTTTTTAAAGAAAAACTTTCCTGGTTAGAAAAGTAAAATATTCAACATAGGGAATTGGGAAAATATAATTAGCTGAAAATCACAGCATTCAGAGAAAACCTTGTTGATAGAAATGGATACTGAATGTTGTCAAATGCCTTTTCTTTATCTATCAAGAAAAGAAAATCGATCTTCCTTCTTGTGGGAACAAATAAAGATTACTCTGGTAGCACCATGCCACGTGGATTTAAAGTACGATAAGACTGAAGGTTGGGAACTCAGCAAACAGGTTCCTGCATTAATCCAAAAAAAGAGATGATGAGAGCCTGAAGGGAAGTGATAGCAGTGGGAATAGAGGGAAAAGGACAGGGCTATTAAGGAGGTAGAACTGGCATGATTGGTAATCTACTGGCTGTAATAGGGAGCATTTATCAACGATGAAGGAAAATTCATCAAGTTGGTAGTCATATGAGACCCTGGGAGAAAAGCCTTCTAAGCCCCAGGACCAGCAAATGCTAACACTCCGAAATGGCAATGTGTTGGGCCTATGCAAGGAAGGCAATAAAAGAAGCAATTCTGACCCAAATATAGTAAATGTGGGGATTCCAACCTTATATTCTATTGTTTCCCTAGATAGGCACTACATGCTCCCAGTTTGACTGGACGGTTTTCATCTTAACTAATTTGAATATAGGTTAAACTATCAGTCAATTAACTTTAAGTTATTTACTATAAGAAGACAATAAGAAAGTTAAGTAAAACTCTAATGAAAAGCCAATAAGCAAAGTCTCTGCTTTAACAACATAACTAGCCTTGTGAAAACAAGGATCCAAAAAATTCGTTTAAGACTCAGAGTTGTTTCTCTCCATGGAAATTTTTACTGAAAGGCAAAAGATTGACACAATCTGAAGAGAAACCAGAGTATCTAGTGTTACTTTCTTACACTCCCTGTAGGTTAGGAACAGAAGCTGTCTTATTCTGCTTATCTTCTTCTGCTCCTACCACTAGATTTATGCCAACAACTATTTGCTGAATCTAACTGAATGGAAAACATAAAGGTTAAGATTAAAACCAAAATTATTCCTTTACTCCTCCCCCAAATTAGGAACATATCGAATTTTGGCAGTGGTGACAACAAGAAATTGCTATAAAAAGAATGACCAAGTAAATTAAAGTATAACAGGAAATGATCAATTGCCTTAATGAAATCTACATGAATGTACCAGTAATTCTGTGAGATTAAAAAAATCTAACAAGATTTCAAATGAACATTAATGAAATATCACCCATTAAATTAGTCATGGAGGAGTAGTATATTGAGTTTTGGCCTTCATATAGCAAAAAGAATGTGAACCGCCAAGACCACGTCCAGTATTACCTAAACCAGTCCAAGGGGGTGCGGAGGGGGAAGACCCGGCCCGAGGGGTGGTGGAAGGTGGGGGTGGGGCACGGCCTGAGGGAGGTTTGAGCGTGAGGACCCGGCCTGAGGGGGGGGAAGGGGGTGTCGGGCGCACCTGAGGGAGGGTGGAGTGTGAGGACCCGGCCTGAGGGGGGTGGGGACTCTGGATGGAGCCCTCTGGGCCAGGTCAGGGCCTCCAGCAGTCTAGTTTGCATGGCCGCCCTCACATATCCTCATTCCCCTCAGGCAAAGTGCTGCCGACTGGGCCAAGGGGAGGAGTTCAGGTCCCACCCCGAGGTGCCCAGTTACCAGAGCCGTTAGGGCCGATGATGCAGGTGAACCTCTTGAAGGGGCCAAAGACCTGGCGGCCCCGCAACGACTTGAAGTTCTCCACGATCAACACCTGCAGGAGGCCCATGTTGGCAGACTCTTCTCCTCAGCCGCGTCCACGCGCCTGGCGGAAAAACGCGGGAAGAGCCTCTCCAAGTCTCGCGAGCCTAGAAGGAGACCACAGCCGGGACAGCGCCGTTTCTTAACAAACCGGAGTTGTTGAAAGTCCCCTTCTAATGTAATGTTGCTAAAAGTTTTTACCATGACCTTGTGTTGAATTCCTTTCACAAGCTTTTTCATTACACGTTGATGTGATCAAATGCTGTTTTTCTTTTCGTTCTGCTCCATTGTTAATGTAGGAATTTACAGAACTTGTTCTTCCTATCTAACCGTAACTTTGTAACTTTGCACCAGTCACCAACATTTCCCTGGCGCTCCCTTACCCACTTTCTTTCTCTGCCTCTGGGAATCACTGTTCTACTCTATGTCTCTATTTTAAAATTTATTTTCCTTAATGAGCACATGATAATTGTATAGATTTATGGAGTACGATATCATAATTGGGTATATTTATACTGTGTGCAATGATCATATCAGTGTACTTAGTACATCCATAACCCCAAACGTTTGTCACTTACTTGTGTTAGAAACATTCAATATCAGGCTGGCCCATGGCTCACTTGGGAGAGTGTGGTGCTGATAACACCAAGGCCACGGGTTCGGATCCCTACGTACGGATGGCTGCTTGGCTAACTTGGGAGAGCATGGTGCTGACAACACCAAGTCAAGTGTTGAGATCCCCTTACAGGTCATCTTTTTTTTAAAAGGGGGAAAAGAAAAAGAAACATTCAATATCGTCTTGACTAGTTATTCAAAGATACACTGTGCTTTGTGTCCCCTTCCTCTTGCCCCCGCCACTCTCTAGTAGCCACCAGTCTACTCTCTGTTTCTGTGAGATCAACTTTTTTAGCTTCTGCATATGCGAGAGAACCTGTAGTCTTTCTCTCTCTCTGTGCCTGGCTTATTTCACTTAACATATTTCCTCCAAGTTCATCTATGTGGCTGCAAATGGCAGAATTTCATTCTTTTTTATGGCTGAGCAGTATTCTGTTGTGTATGTATACCACTTTTTCTTTATCCAGTCATCTGTGGAAGGATATAAAGGTTCGTTCTAGCTCTTGGCTACAGTGAAGAAAATCACGATAAATGTGGGAGTGCAGGTGACCCTTCTACCTGTGGATTTCCATTCCTTTGGATATACAGCCTCAGTCTGTCCACTTGGGTCTTGGCTCTTTCTGTCTCCCCACTAATTCCTGCTCAGGATCTGGGGCTGATGCTCACGTGCAGTTATCTTTCATTGAAATTTCCCAGTTAGGGATCCCCTTCCATGGTATTGCATCTCAGGGAGAACTGGCAGGAGAAGACATAGTCTTATGGTGCATCTCCTACTGGTTGGTATACAATAGCCATTGCCATGTGAATGAGTGACAAATGACTGTGATTATGATCCCCTAAGTAATGTCCACCCTTAGACTAACTGATCACCTTAACTGGGTGACAATGAGGTTTTGCTTTCTGAGGTTGGCCAAGAGAGGTGGAGGAGGGGTGTCCTGTCAGCCAAAGACATAACCAGCTGGGGCCATGGTGTCCCCACACAGAAAGTCTGAGCAGACTAAAGGCTGTAGCAGATGGTGGATGCATTGTACAGAAGGACACTTCCCCGTTCCCAGCATACGCCAAGACTCACAATAAGATTTGGAAAGGAGCCGGGCAGGAGAGGGCATTGGTGTCGCTGAGGGATGTAGGCTGTGGTGAGCATCTGCTACCCTAGGGGAGGCATGAGGAGGACTGCTCACCAGATCTATTGGAACCGCCCGGGCAGGCCAGGGAGGGACGTGGGAGCAGAAAGGGGCCGAGGCGGGCTGGAGCCCTGGACCGTGTCATGAATCAGGTAGTCCCAGAAAAACGCCAGAGGCAGTTCCCTGTGTGCCACTCCAGAATGGAGACAAGCCCAGTGCTGGAAACAGGAACACTGTAGGACAGTCCTTGCAGGGACATGACTGGTGTGGAGAATTCATGCCCAGGGCATCTAGGACGCCCAGTGCACCACAATGGCCTTTCCTGGAGGCATTTCCAGGGCCCAGCATCCTCCACAGCAGCCTTTTGTGCCTACACACAATTGCCATGGCCCAAGCCTGTTATATGTATTGAAGCCCAAATAATGTTGATCTAATGAGATTATTGGATCTTTGAGTAAAACTTTATTTAAGAAATACATCATGATTTCCTCCTGGGTGCCAATGCTAATGGTCGGCACCAGGAGCTGAGAACATGGCATTCAACCCTTGCTCTGAGGAGCTCATTATCAAAGAGGTGTGTATGGCCACTTAGGAACTTCTTTCCATATGGTTCCAAAGAGCAAATTAGTGTGTACGACAAAAATTTATAATTGACAATGTGCTTGTTTCGAAGTGAGATTCGTTTAGCCAGACTTAGGTATAAAGGACACAGCTGACAGCAGGGGCTCTACAGCCAGCCAGCCCGGACATAAATCTTGGCTCTGCCACTTCATAGCTGTGCGATCGTGGGCAAGCCTCCAATCTCTGTGTACTCCATTTTTCTTGTCTGCCAAACATGTACAGCAATAGTACCTAACTCCTGGGGCATTTACAAGGACTAGGCCAGGTATTGTCTGTAGAACATCTAAACAATGTGTGGTCCATACTGTCGTGTGTGTGTTTATTAAACTGGCAACTCCTGATCTCACTAAGTCACTTGTGTTTGTCTTCAGGATTGAGTAGGACAGCTCATGGAAGGTTCAGAAAATAGGGCTAAAACTTCTACTACACAGCACTGTGATGAACTTGAAGCAGCTAGCCCACTCCCTGGCATGGTAAAGGATCAGAAAATGTACATGGTTGTCGTAATCCTCGAGGCTGACCCTGATCCTCCAATGCTCCAGAGGGCACTATTGCAGGTGTCAAATATTATTATTTTCTCTACAACCGACCAGTGGCCAGTGCTGGTGAAGTCCCTCAATGTCCTGAATGGCTTCTGCCATCCTTAGGCAGTGCTGTAGATCGATGCGCAAGCCCAGGCGTTTTCTCAGTGGAGCTTTAAAATAACCCATGAGTTGTGACCACAGAGGCTAGTGCTTGCCCATGAAAACACTGGCTTACTGTGGGGTGCATAAATATTGCTATTGTAATGATGAAAACATCCTCTTACTACTAAGTTACAGTTTACACAGTGGGTCATGGAAATTATCTCATTTGCTAAAACAAGTATCAGGACACAGGAGACTTGAGATTCTGGCTTTTGACTGAGCCCAATTCAAATACTCACGAATCTCTATTTCTAGAGTTTCTGGCCAAGCACACAGATTCCCGTGCCCACGGCTTAAGCCTCTCCTAGTGAAATCTCAGGGTCTAAGTTGCATTTCATTCTGCCGTTCACATCTGCTGCCATTTCAGAGCACAATGGTCACAGGAATTTTTGAAAACAGAAAGCAGTTGTTAAGCCCCTGCAGATAACCCTAACTGAAGCGAGGGCATCATGCCCTTGTGCTCCCTCCCAGTGCCCCCTTGACTAATCACTGGAAGGGACTTGATTCCAGAGGGCAAATCCTGGAGAGGACCTTGGCTTGGAGTCATCAAAAACTGATGCCCTTGGCAGCTTGGGTACTGAGTGCGTCAGTTGTAAGTGCCCCCTTGACTAATCACTGGAAGGGACTTGATTCCAGAGGGCAAATCCTGGAGAGGACCTTGGCTTGGAGTCATCAAAAACTGATGCCCTTGGCAGCTTGGGTACTGAGTGCGTCAGTTGTAAAGGGGGGATCTGGGTGACATCACACCATCCACTGTATTCCAACTCTTGGAACACTTAAACCTATTATCTTCATAGAGAAAGTTCACCTGATTTGAGACTAACTCCTCCAGGATTCCTGCTGTTCTCTCCCTGAAGG